TCTTTTGGGGAGCGAGATGGGGACCGATTGTAGCGGCGGTTTTTGTGTCGGCCTTAGCCACGGGGAAGGTCCCTTGGCCGAGAGTGCTTTCCTTCATTCCCCCTATTCCTTTGGTGTGACCCCGCTTCTTAACAGCTTCGGGTTGGTTTCTCTCCAATGCAGGACATTGCCCAGTTCGGCAGGGAGAAAGGCTTCGAGAGTTGTCCCGTTCGTGTCTCTCCGGGGGAGACCGGGAGTGGTCCTCGTTCCATGGAGGAGGAGTTCGAGAGTTAGATCTTCTGTTCTTTCCGAGGCCCGACGAGTCTGCTTCAGCATCACCATTCGCTCGCCCTGTGAGAAGATTATGTAATTGGTCTGGTTGATTTCCACGAATAGGGTTTTGGTCATGGTGTCAGCACCTTCAAGAACGGGGATCTCCTGATATGTATTGGGTTCATAATTTTGCGGAGGATGGTAGTCGTCGTCACATGTTTGCGAGCGGGTGGATGAAGAGGTGGTTAGTCCGTCCCCGTGGTCTTGCTCGGGGGCGGCCGTGTCATTGTTGTCGCCTGCATTATTGTGCTCAGCATTGGCGAAGTGAACGTTCTGGTCATTGTTGAAAGCTTGGGTGGCCATGACAATCAGAAGGTTGATAAAGAGTTTCTTTGGTCTTGAGTGAAAGACGGGGAAGATGGTTTCCCACAGACGGTGCCACTGATTGTACCTGATCAGAAGGGATCGTCAAGGCCCACGAGCTTTCAGTCGAGTGGTGGTTGAATATGAATTGGAGGGAGGGTACCTGTAAGACACTCTGATGCCAAAGTAAGGTTTAGAGTAAGTGCAAGTAAAGCGTGAGAGTATGGGTACATGAATGAATACCCGACTCTCTCAAGTGACATGGTATTTATAGTCCCCAGCGTTGGGCCAAGGTCTTCAGTAACGGGCCACGATGAGGCCCAATAACAAAGACTTCCAGGGTTTACGGGTGTATGGAGTCCAGCACGTGGCCTCCTCCCTGGTCAACTTCCCCGAGAAAGTAGATAAGTTGGACCCGTTATTCTCAGAGTGCAGGATGATGATGTTATGGACACAAGTCATGTTCTCCTAGTAGACATGTGGGGAAATGCCCAACAGTCCTCAGTTTAGGCTGTACGATTTTGAGCCTTTGTAAAGATGCAAGATGGGGCCTCCCCAACGGTGGGGCAAGTGTCGACCCAGTCCAGAACACATTTAAGAATCTTTGGAATAAATCATTTTAATTTGGCATGATTCTTTAAATTAAAATTCAAAGTCAATTTCCCAACCATCCATAGATCATAACATAAAGATGAAAACATTGTTTAACCAAAGTATGATTTCAATACAAGTTCAGATAAATAACCAATTTCATCAGAATCATAATCTCAGTTAATATCACTAAATTGAGTGGTGTTTCTCTCATTTTCATGCAATGCGTACACTACAAATCAATTTTGTATTTCATCTAAGCAATATCACAAAGTATGAAATCAGTAATGGATCACTAACGTGGTCGAGCTATAAAAAATATTGATTTCTCTTTGGATTCAAAAGTGTCTTGAAAATAAGAGACCACAAATTAACTCATATCCATATTGCTTAAAAATTTATTTCTTTTTCCCATTTACAACTTCTTTTGGTGTTTTTTTTTTTTACTTTGCTATCTTTGAAATTTCATTTTTTTTCTTTCTCTTTTCTTTTAATTTTTTATCATTTTATCAAAGTACATTCATTTTTTTCTTTTAATCATTGATGTCAACATACTTGATTTCTTTCTTTCAAATAAACATTTCCCCAACTTGCTTATTATGATATCTTTAAAACAAATGCTCTTATATCCTTAATACAAATGAATGGATATCATTTTTTAAATGTCTAAGGGTTATAATATTTCAAAAACAATTTTTTCACTTTTTAGTTTAAAAAGGGGTTTTATCAAATGATCACTTACTCACTAGGTAAACTATATTTGATCAAATAGTTATTACTTAATAAATAAATATTGATTTGATCATTTCCATTCATACATATCAAACAATAGCAAGAATTATGCAAAATCAATAGAGTTATATGAATGTCTACTCTCAATATATATGTAAAACACGAGGTTGCACATGCTTTATCGATTAGGTCTTGTAATGATTCTGATTTTAATCAACATTCTTTTACAAAGCAATTGAAATCTAACTTTAAGCAAGCAATAGTTTCATGTTCACACTATCATTTCTAGATAATCATAAAAATCAATTTTGAATGAAGCATTTAAAAATAACCTTTCATCATGCAGTTGGTCCTGGTTTGTCATAAACCTAGAGTTCTAAATTCGTATTCACCTAACTATTCAACCATTGAATCATATGATATTTGTTTCAATCCTCTTGTATTTCATAAACAAAATTAGGCAAAATCACAAAATTTCAAATTATTTAAAAAATAGCTCATGTATTAGAACTTGAACACGTTCGTGTAAAGCAATTAAATAACTGAAAGTAAATACCTAAGTAAATGTCATAGGTTTTTTGCGAGCCTTAATTATTATCTTCTTCTTCACTTTCTCTTTTATGGAGCATCCATCCCCTAAGAAAAGTTGCCTGCCCTCAAGCCATTGGATTTGAAAAATAAATTTTCCCTAAGTAGGCATTATGTGGGTCTAAGGGGTTGAATTATTAATTTGTATCGACAACATGTGAATATTTTGCTTAGCAGTATTAAAAATTTGTTGGGCAAACTAATTAAATTAAAACTTTGAGCTACTGTTAACCTTTTTGCTTAGCGAGTAACTGATCTCGTCCGACGAAATGTCTACCTAATTGCCAAAAATTATTTTTACTTGATTAAGTTAAATAAATAAAATTTGCATTAAATAAAGTTTAAAGCTAGTAAATTAGGTTGCCTCCAAATAAGCGACTATTTAATGTTATTAGTTCGATGTCTGTGTTAAGATTTTTTTTCTTTGTCATATTCTATTTCAAGAATTTGACATAGATAGATAGTTGCTTCAATGCCTCATAAAATGGTATATTGATATATAGTCTTTTGAAAATATTTAAAAACCTTACATAATGTTCTTTTTTTATATATATTTCTTGATTGGAGCACATGGATAAGGCGGATTTTGAGTAGGTGAATTCTTCAAATTACTTATACCTTTGCTTGCTTTTTGAATGTTTTATTTTTCCTCTTCACTTAATTTTTCTCCAACTATTTTTCTTATGTTTCTTTCCCACTTTCTTCTTCCTTTCCCTCTTGTTTTTCTTTTGACTCAACTCTTTTTGTTTCTTCATTACTGTCGTTTCCACTCACTATGTTGCTCTTAATTATAATGGATCTACAATTCTTATTTAGATTGATTAATGTTGACATTAAATGCTCTACCTTGTCGACCAATTAGTTGCTTGGCTACCTGACAAACCCGAGTTTGGGGATTTTAATTCACACATCAATGTTCTTTAGGTTTGCTAAAGATAAGTGCATAAATTAATATACAATATCTTCCAATTTTGAAATTTCGTCTCATCGAGGAGGAGTCTCGTTGTAATTTTGGTACGACCGTTGTCTGTTGGATGATCCTGCATCTTGTCTCCATCTTTGATTTTGATTTGAGTTGTTGTTATTTTGATATTGTCATTATCTTTGTTGGTTTCCCAAAAAAATGACTTATTCATTTGATGGAGAATTATAATATGTGAGATGGTCTCCGGTGCAAAGCTGATAATAAAAAACTTGCTTGTGTTTAGGTATGTCTTAAATTTTTTTGAGTTGTTGTGTAAGCTTTAACAATTACTTTGTTAATTTAAATGATTACATTTATACACAAATATGAACAATTTTACAAAAGTGCTTAAAATGGTTTAAAAATATTACTATGATTATAATATCTAAACATTAATCCTCGACAACGACACTTTTTTTTTTGTTTTAAAAAAGTAAGTATTTTTGTATTATCTTATCCACAAGAATTAATGTGATATTTAAACTTGTTAAACAATCTTTATGATTTTAAGAGAAGCGTGTTGAAAATTTATTTATTTATAGAAATAAAATAAAACAAAATAACGATAAACGAAAATAAGATTAACAAATAAGATGAGATTGTTGGAGTTAGAGTTTACCATCTATCGATGCGTAAGTTGTTTATGTCTAAACAACGACATTAAATCAATCGTGTATTGTTTAAATGAAGATCTCTCTAATGATTATCAAATAAGACAACAATATATGTGAATGCTAAAGCTAAAAAATAAAATCTTCTCCAAAATTTTAGACTATATTTGAATATTGTATAACGGAAGAAGCAAAATCATTATATCGTTTGAGTATTTTTTTTTGTTGGTGTACAAGGTTAATAAATAAAGAAAAATGATATAATATATTTACTTCAATGATGGCTAGAAAGCTTAAAGAGGAATGATACAAATGATTGCTATTAATAGTCTATTTATATAAAAAAATAAACTGTCACGTATGCTCTAATAAAAATAAACTTAATGACTAAGTTAAAAAATACAAACTAGAAAATACTAAACTTAATAACTACACTAACATATTCATATGGGTAACCTAAAAGCTAGGCTGAACATATTTCTACCTTCTGGCTAACAATAACTTTTTAATATATCAAACTAGTGCTTTTAACTAAGTCGTCTCAAAAATTTAACAACCTCGTAAACTCAACTGCTTATGAGCAACAACCTCTTGTAAACATTTTTGACGGGATAAAGCAATATTATAATTCCACTCAAATCAAAATGTACAAAATATGATGAAACATATTTGATCAATTATTTTATAATTTAGTATTTAGAGGGATAAAAATATTTGATATATGAAAAGTATTATTGAATTTACATTTATAATTAGTGTGTTGTGATGGTAGAATGGTACATATCGAGCATGACAACACAAAGACAAGCAGGGTTGGATTGATTTCATCTTTAAAAAACAGTCTTTCAATCCAAAGTAACAACCGCTCCCAATAACGACCACATCTCTGGTTTTTCTTGATGGGTCGCCCACCCAGTAACGGAGGCCCCGCCTTCCGCTTCACCCAGCCGGAGGTATTCATCTTTTCCTCTTTCCTTCTCGCGTTATCATTTGGTTTTTCTGTATGGTAATTTATGCATCAACTTACACCTCTTAGAATCCAAATTAAGACTCACTTTACTTAAGATTAACATGTAATTCATTTTCTGATAAAATTAATTACAGCTTATTTTCATGTGAAGTTGCAAATCTTAGGTTCCACAAGTTTAAATCCTTAGTGGAGTTGCAACTATATCATAAAATTAAGGAAGTTAAAAAAGATTGGGGAGGAGAGTTTTAGGCCTTTTCCGAATACTTAGCTGATCTAGGAAATGTAAAGACAAGTTTGTCCACACACACTTACCTGATCTAGGCAAGGTTGTCAGAATGAGAGTTTACTTTGAATCCAAAGAGGATAGTAAGATCCAAAAATCGTAAAATCGTAAATCGCTACCAAAATCAGTGGATTCTACTCAAATCGTTTTGTTGAATCGAAAGGGGAAATCAAGATCGCATAATCGAAAATCGCAACCAAAATCGTTGGATTCAATTCATAATAGTATATATATTATAAAGTGCAAATGCTCAAAGTTTAAAATCATAAAACAACCAATCTCAAATCTTAAATATAAAAGTACTCAAAAGTTTAAAATCATAAAACAACCAAGTCTCAAATCTTTAATATAAAACAAACTACTTTAAAACTATATGCTAATTTAGATCACTAATGTGCCATCTACTTGGATCACCTCCCATAATGTCAAATGAATATCAATAAAATAGGGTTTACCCCCTTTTTAAATAAAAAAGGTTAAATCACAAAACAGAAACGGGTCGTCTTTACCCATTCTAAAATTACCCCAAAAAAAGCCCAAAATCGGTGGAATCCATATGAGATCGCGGGTTTTGCTGCGATTTAGCGATTTTGTGCGATTTTATTGAGATTTTCCTCTGAATTTGGATTCTACTCACGATTCAGATCGTTTAGGGTGAGCAAAATCGCAAAATCCATGGATTTCACGATTCTAATCGCGATTCTGACAACAATGACTTTCAAATTGTGACCTATATCATAAACAGTCTGCCTTCCTTAGCTCACTAATTCAATACCATTTATTACGTTATTTTATAAACCACCAAATTACTCTTCTCTCAAATCTCAATGTTATTGGGTGTGCTTGCTAGCTACTCTTTCCTAAGACCTTACAATCAACATAAGGTTCAATATAACTCAGCTGAATGCACATTTATGGGTTACTCTTCTATTGTAAAGGATACAAATGTTATTGTGCTGGTTGTAGAATTTATATTTCAAAACATGTCCTTATAAATGAAACCTTGTTCCCTCCTGATTCCAGTCCTCCTAGTCCCTCCTATTTCACTACCTTAAGCATCTAATAGTCTTTCCTATTTTTTCTGCACCACTGGTTTTCCCAAGTTCCTCCTGATTCCCTTGTTTCCATCCTAATCTCTCTGTCAACTGCCTTGCTTTTGTTTCAGGTTTTTTTCCCTCTGTTTCTTCCTTACAATCTTCTTTTATTTCCTACTCTTTTTTTTTTCTTTTTCCGGTCAGACCTGTTGTTCATGCCCCACCACCCAGTCCATACACCCCATGCAAACCAGATCAAAATATGATATCATCAAATCTAGAATTAAGCCCACCTCTACTCCTTACTCCTTTAAAACCAACTCGAACAGAGAAAACCCTATATATGCCACACCAGAAAGAGGCTATGCAATATGATAATCAAGCACTATTTGCTAATCTAACCCTTGATTCCTTTACACAATTACACGAGAATAAGGCATATATTGTGTGCAAATGGCTTTTATTTCGTGTAAAAGAAAACCCATATGGTTCATCTGAATAATGGAAGTGCTGAAGTAGAACTGTAGCTTAGCCTTAATTACTGTTGAACTCGTGAATATAACTCCTGTTGAAAGAATTACATTTCTTATAGTACAGTTTCACTCTCAAACAAAGCATTTGGAGCTTGGTCTCTAATTTGTAAGGAAAAAAGTGATGAATAAGACCCTTGCTGTTACTCATGTGACCAGCTTGCTGATATTCTAACATAGTCACATTCTCAATTATGCCTCTGTTCTGTCAGAGACAAACTCCAGGTGCTAAAACGACCCCGATTTTGCAGAGTGGAGTGATAGAGTGCTGAGTATAGAATAGATGCTAGTTTGGGCAGCTTTCAAGTAGCTAGGCAGTTGTAGATTCAGTTAGTAGCTTGGTTCTATAAATACTTCTCTTGTATTCAGATCATAGTCACCAGGTTCGCAATTCGTTTCGATACGTGGTACGAATTCGGGTACGCGGTATGCAACACTCAGAAAATTAGGTACGCGAGGGGTATACATAGGCGGTACGCTATTTGGGTTTGTGGTACGTTTAAATATAATAACCGGTACGCTATAATTAAAATAATTTAGTCATTTGAGATGGAAAGAATAGTTGAATATACAGTTTATTAGTCCTTCATATAAAACATGCTAAAAATGAGTGAGATAACATAATTGTTTGTCAATTACAATGTACCGATATATTTTTCAGTTCCACATCGAATACGTTCTAATATTTAAGAGTAAGTATAGGTATAAATAAAGGACATTGCATGGCTGTTTCAACAATTTCCACGTTCTACTTGCTTCGGGACAAGTGAACAAGTAATAGTTAATTAATTTATTAACTTGTGGTGCTGTTTTGGGAAGTTACTGTGACATGCACATAAGTAGCTATCTTGGACCTAAGTGAATTAGTTAAAAGTTTTTTTCGCTTACTGTAGTGGTACGCTGGTTTTTCCGAATTCTTGGAGAATTATGAAGAACCGGTTCACAAAAGTACCACAAACCGGTTCATGCGAATTAATTCGCGGTTCTCTACAGTTTCAGCGAATTATATTACTATGATTTAGATAGATCATATTCAATAATATTCAGATTCATTACATCTTAAATTTCTCTCTCTACTTTTAGTTTATCTGAAACTTTAGTAGCTTTATGTCTTGATTTTTCTGGTAATTTCTTGCTCCTTCTCCTTTGTCAAAACCTTCATCATCTTTGTTCAACTAAGCCCACAAGTGATACCAGCCTTCGTTACCTCCGTTCACCACCTCAATGTGTCTTTTTGGGTCGCTTGGGTTATGTTTGGCTCCTCCATTTGATACTTTTTGGATTTATTCAACTGCTGGTTTTCTCTTCAGTGTTTGTCACACTTCTTTTCTCACTAATGGATCATATCAGCTGCTTCTATTCCCGCCGGTGATCATCCGCAAGTTACTCATTTCCCATAGATAAATCATGTTAGTAGTGTCTCCTTTTTCAGTTGAATTTTCATTTAGATTGTGACTTATGTTTTTATGGCTCAAACTAGCTCAGCTCTCTGACCTAGATTTTTTATCCTCTGCTTGTTTCCCAAGCACCCTAGACTCCTTTTTGTTGCTTAATTTATTGCCAAGAAATTTCTCCAAGGATGATGATTATTCTAGCTGTCGGGCTAAACTATCTTTCTAGCGATTCTATCCTACTTGTGCAGCATCTTTGAGTGTCTTTCCCAACAATTATTCTTCTGTGTAAGGAGAGCAGAGTAGATGGAGAGAAGTTAAACAACTAGAGGTAGAGGAAGACCTAGAAAAACCATAAGAGATGTTATTAAGAAAGATTTCAAGATTAATGATTTGGATAGAAGCATGATCCTGGATGGAGCATTATGGCGAAAGTTGATCCATGTAGTCGATCCCACTTAGCGGGATAAGGCTTGGTTGTTGTTGTTGTTGATGTTATTAGTTTGAAGCTTCCAAATGTAGTTTTGAGAAGGGTGGAGCTTGCTTTGCTTAATTTATTGCCAAGAAATTTCCCCTAGGATGGTGATTATTCTAGCTGTTGGGCTAAACTATCTTTCTAGGGATTCTATCCTACTTGTTCATCATCTTTTAGTGTCTTTCCCAACAATTATTCTTTACTTGTGGGAAAATGAATTATTTTCTTGTTACAAGCAGAAGGCTTAGTAAGCTTTAGCTTGTAGGGGGTGTTAGAATTTAGGAAACATCTCATAATATCTTGATCTAATGTTAGCATATCTTGATTTATCTCATAATCATATTTAGTTTCTTTTGTTAGAGTATCTCCTAAGTTTAGTTTAATAATACTGAATTATTATCATGCTTTGTTTCCTTATTTCATTAGAATTATAAGTCTTATGTGTAAGAGCATGACTTTGTAACCTTAAGGGTATGGTTCAAATCCATCATTGGACAGTTGTAAATGACAATTAGTGTTACACTTATTAATAATAAGTGGGGGTTAGTGCTTGATGTTTTGTATCAAGTTACTATCACTTATATTCCACCAGTATCATATTCAAAGTCTTTTTATTTGTCTTCACTTTTTATCTAATATCACATAACCTCAACAATTCCAATGACAGATTTTTTCCAAAAACTATTTTTTATCTGTATAGGTAACAGAAATGGAAGCTATTCTTTCAGAACACAACAATGCAATGCCAGCACGGGATGTTCTTCAAGCTCTTGCAGACAAGTTCAGGTGTGTCACAGTATAGAGTACATGTAGAATTTAATATGCTCCTGAAAAGTGAAATTAAATTTTGCTTCTGTTTTTTGTTTTAGCGAATCACCCGACCGTAAAGGCAAGATTACAGTACAGAATAAACAGGTAAGTCTGCTATATTTTATTACAGATGAGGAGTAATTTGTCTTCCATTCTTAGTTTTCTATTTCATTATAGGTATGGAATTGGTTTCAAAATAAGCGATATGCGATAAGGGCTAAAACTAGTAAGACTCCTGCGAAGTTAAATATCACGCCCATGCCTCGGGTTGATTTGGCCCCAGGAAGGATTATGGCTCAACCAACAGCTTCTCCTATTCCCGCTCCTTCATCTTCAGGTAGATGCTGGTTTTAGGTGCTTAAAAGTAATTTGTTTTATATTCACACTTATCTGTTAGTGACTTAGTGTGTTAGTTTCTTTTGAAAATTTAATCATGCTTTCTACTCAGCTGTTGTACCATATCACTGTGTTGCTTCTTGGATTACATAGAGAATTTATTATACTGGTTTTGCCAATCTGTTTAGTTTAACATACATAGCCTATAGGGCTAGACTAGGTGTATACATGCTTAGTTAAATTTTGTTTATAGTTTAGACATGCGGTGCAATATGAGTAAGGTCAAAAGTATTTTGTTGTCATAACAAGCTTTGTCTCCACAACTCAATGTTCCACTTTTGTTTTCGATTGTTATTAACTTCTATGCTTATTACAATAATAATGAAAAGGGGGTTACAGATACTGTATGATACCAAAGCTAGTGTTTCTGTAATAGAACTGGACCAGAATCAGGTAAATAGCTTAATCTGTTTAGCTATGACAACCAATCTCTGGATTGGTATTTGGATGAGTCTGAACATAGATTCAGAGAAAAATATAGATACAGAAGTACAATTCTCCCCCTCTTGGTATTTTAAAAATAGTCTCATCTTTTATTTGTACAAACAAAAGATATTAGATACCCTCGATTCCTCTGTTTGTAACTTATAACCAACTAAAGCTGTACAGTGACTAAGTGGTTACTGCTAGCTGTCATTTCTATTAGTGACAAATTAAAGACATATTTCTACAGATTGCCCTAATTGGAGGCCTGTCTAATAATTTGGGGCTTAGACCTAACTCAATCTCAAAAATTTGGCTTGTAAAGTAAGAACCGCCCAAGCCTTATAAGCATTATTTCGGCCATATATCTATAGGCGATATGGGACTTAACAACTGCCTCATACCAAGCACAATCAAGGTGCTGAAGGTTGCAATAAAGTCCCACAGTTGCTGCAATTAAGGGGGCCAGGGGAGAACTGCAATAAAGGTGGATGTTTTTACACACCCAAGCCGAGTTTGCTTGGAGCATGGATAATATGAGCAATCCAAAAACAGACATAGGATAGGATTTTATACCATTTAAGAGTTTGTGCTCAAGCCTAACTCAACCCCATAAAATTGGTTTGAAAGGCTAGGTCTATCCAAGGCTTATAAGCACTACTTGGGCCATGTCTCTAGGCGACATGGTACTAAACTTATTGCTTCACACCCTACACAATGAAGGCTCTGGAAAGTTGCAATGGAGGTTTTTTTTTAATAAGCAAGTTGCAATGAAGGTATCCCAAAGTTGCTGCAACTAAGGCGGTTAGGGGAGGATATAAGGCGGATTCTCCCACAGTGTGCTAGCTGGCTAGAAACTGTTATAGAGCTGGTGTCATCTTTCATCAAACTCGGTGTTATTCTAAGTGTGTTGCTACTTGCCTAGAGAATAATATTTCATAGGCTGTGGCCGATCTTGCCCCCAAATTGTATACTTATGAACACAGTATTTTGCTGTCATTTTTTTAGCGTACATGATAAGATATTTTTTATGAAAATTTTAATATATGAAGTAAAACTTGAATGAATCACTTTTGGGCTTTATCCTTTATTTCGGCTGGTACAGTACTGCTGTATATTTCCAATTGTAGATGAAAAAAAATCATAATCAGGAAAAAACATCACTCATTTCATTGTAGACTGATGCTGCATTTATGTTCTTATTCTCTAATTTTTCATTTAATCACTTACATACATTGCTATCATTTTATTGTCTACCCAGTTCAAGGAACAGCAAAATTAGCTCTTGAAAATTCAGTTATGGAATTTGAAGCTAAATCTGGAAGGGATGGAGCATGGTCAATATTCCCTCTTTAATCATGTTTAGGTTACTCTTTTGTATATTTGTCTACTTCTTAATTAATTTTCATTAGTGTACTTGACTTGTGGTCTTGTTTTTTGTTAGGTATGATGTGGCTAACTTTCTATCATACAGACATTTGGAGAGTAGTGATCCGGTAATTTTGACATGAGATTATCCCCCTTATTAATTTCTGAGAGAATTAATGTTTTTTTTATATTGTTCAGTTTTTATTTTTTCTGATAGTATTTCCTTGTTATTTCAATCAAGGCAAGTCAAAATTGAGATCCTATCTATGATATTACATATTCCAATTCGATTGATACCCCAAAAATCAATTCAGGATTTGATTGGCTAACATCGGGTAGGGGCTCCAAGATCATAAATAAATGACATAATATTTTCTTAATGTTTAATGTAACTGTTTTCTGTTATAGTGACCATCGAATGAATGTACTGTTAGTGTTTGATGTTTTGCTTCCTTATTTGTGTAAAAGAATTATTATGGAATGGTCATGGACAAATGTACTTGTAAATAAATTAAATAGATCTGGTTCTCACTTATCAGTTTCTGACCATTCATTCATTCATGGTGTTGTAGTTGTCTTAAGTTTTGCCTTCAACTCTGATCGAAACCTAAACAGAGTTTGTTGACTGCTGTGCAGCGCACCCAATCTCATTTTATCCTGGCTTATGGATTTGTTGACCATGTAATGGTAATCTATCTCTCCATGTTTCAGGAAGTGCTTGTGCGTTTTTCCGGTTTTGGATCTGATGAAGATGAGTGGATTAATGTGAGAAAGAATGTCAGGCCACGCTCTCTGCCGTGTGAATCTTCAGAATGTGTCGCAGTGCTCGCTGGAGATCTCATACTTTGTTTTCAGGTTGGGATGTGTCATAATAAGTTAATTTGATCATGGAAATTTTCATCCAACATATTTTGTGTTTAGCAAAAATTATTGTTTCTTACCATTTATTGAATTTTGATTTTTGATACAAAAGGAAGGTAAAGAGCAAGCCCTTTACTATGATGCCCATGTCCTTGATGCTCAAAGACGGAGGCACGACGTGAGAGGTTGTCGTTGTAGATTTTTGGTTCGCTATGATCATGATCAGTCTGAGGTATAAATTTCAATAAAATTGTCATGTGGGATTTCTATCTTTTATGTTTGATTATAAGATTTTAGTCCCTCTAGTTTCCACTCATTTCAGTTTTGATCCCCATAGTTATATTTTTTTTATATCAGTCCCTATATTTTTTCATTCATATCGGTTTTGTTCCCTAGGGTTCAGTCCTTATATTTTTAATTCATTTGATCCGAACTTTTCATAAAAGGATTTCCTATTTGGATACAATGTAACCTTGGATTCTCTTTCGAAAATCATGATTCCATTTTAGATTTCAAATTTCCATTGAATTTTTCACTATCAAATGATCATCATCCCTTACTCAGGAAATGCAGAATGATGACTGCAAAACAGTAACCTAAATGATTTATGACTGGGCTTGTTTAGTCTATTTCTTCACAATGATGCCATCCAAAAGAGGCAGTGTCTCATTCATTACGAGATTCTACTAACTGTTTCAAATCTCAATGTGAAGAGGTTGACATGAAACTGACGTTAAAGGGCACTTCTTCATGTGTTATATTAATTCACATATTATGTGGTTTTGCCAGGAAATCGTGACGCTTAGGAAGGTTTGTCGGAGGCCTGAAACTGATTACAGATTACATCAACTTCATGCCGTGAATGATGCACCACCTGCGGATCATCAGAAGATTAGCTTGGATCATCCAGCAAATGTTCATAGCATGAGGGTTATTACTAATTCTTCTGAAATGGTGCAAAAGCAGCAACAGATTGCAAATACTCATATAGTAACACCAGTTTTGCAAACAAACGTTTCCATTCCAGCACAAACTATGAATGTGGATCCAGTGAAAATTGAAACAAAACCTGATATTCAAGCCGGAAACCCTGTCACTCTAGGCACTGCCACATTCACCCCCAGCATCATTACTACTGGAAGTATTACTACTAGCAGTGTTCCTGAAGTTTCGACTTCGAACCTGGCCGAAGAGAAGTAACTTGAATATGTTTCTGTAAAGCCTAACTAGTTGGATGGTAATCTTTTGCACAAAATGCTTATACATGAGTTCTTACGCGTGTTTTTTTTCGAATTATGGGAAATGAAAAGGGTAAGGTGCTAGAATTTCACTTTCATCTTTTTATGTTAAAGCTTACACTAATAGTACATTTTAATAGAAACGCATGGAAAACGATTTTGAACATCATTTTCAGAGGTTTTTTTTTAAAAAGAATCTTCTAACATGTAGTTCAGCTTTAGATGACCTTTTTATTTAATATTTTTTTCTTTATTTTCTTTAGTTTATCAAAAAGATTATTTCATTTTCTATAGTGTGATGCTTTTTTTAAGGAAACATTGACTTTTATATAAGAAAAGAGAGGGTAATAATTTAAATGTCTTTTATAAAAGAAGTTGTACTCCATCAATATCTTAATAATCAATATAAAATTATGTTACAGAGTACAAATAAAGTAGACATTGAACTCTGAAAGAAAATATACATTATACTAACGACAAAAAGATTTGAGTATTAAATGTCAAAAAGTTAGTTAAATTGTGATGTATATATATTTGATAGCTTATATGACATAAGATATAAATATTTTTTTCTTATTTTATTTCAAAGAAAGGATAATCCTCTTTTCTTGGTAACAGCAAATGTAAATCTATTAGATTTGAGACTATTAGTAAGAACCCTAAACATTGTTGAAAGTTTATTACACAATTTACTTAAGTATTAAGTAAGTTTTGTGACAAAGATAAAAGAGGTTTATTACACATTTTACTTAAGTATTAATTAAGTTTTGTGACAGTTAAAAAGTATTGTCTAAATTCATCTATATGCAAGGTCGTTTTTCTAGTAAAATCTTTTCGAAAGCATACAAGGCCATGACTATAAAAAAATTGATATACATTACCTATAATGAACCCTATATCCCTTTGTGTGATTTTGGATTGAGATCACCTCATTCTTGACTAGGATAACATACATGCACTGCATGTAATGCGGTATGGATCGTTCAACTCTACGGGTCATAATTATTAGGCCATCTAGCTGACTTAGAACAATTTTCCCCAAGCCCTTGCCTCTGATATGTAAGGTGAGGGATTTGCTCATTTGTCTTTTTCTATCGGTTATTTCTTAACTACAGTGAAAAGACGCGATATGACGTCATTGTCATGGGGAATTCACACCTTAAATGCGCCCCCATGATTTACATGTGTTTTCACATGTTTTATCATGACGACCTTTAGGAACTAGAGTACTCAAGTGTCTTTCCGAGAAAATTTGGACCATAGATAGCACTAACTTCCTTTCTTTCAGTGAGACATTGCGCTGTCTTTTTAGAATAGTTATACAGTTTCTTGTTCATCACCTTTTGTAATACGGTGGGAGAACTGACTTGGTTTTGCGTTTATTCGCAAATATTGTAGATAACAAGAGTCGCCACCGACTTTTCTTTTATCCAATAAGAAAAGGGTGAAAAGAACAGGAAAGACCCGCGAGATTTTCTTGATGAATCATGATCAACCCTTGATCAAATGATGAATGTGACTTCAAAATGTTGATGTTGACCAAAAATCTTGAAGTTTGACTATAAATTGGTCAAAATTGATTTTTTGCTCAATACAGTTGATTTTCAATCATCTGACTAATTGACTTAGCAAACTTTTGTTGCAATACTTGAAATTTGGTATGCGGATTCTCCGAAGCGTATGAGAAATCATGAAATTCCCTTGAGGCATTAGAAGTCCAATTTCCTTTGAGAAAAGTGAAGCCCTAGTTGTAGGTCAACTACTTAGGAGGAGGGTTTGTCTGGTCAACTCTTGAGCAATCTTGAGCATTTGAGAACCCTAGGAGAATGTATTGAAGAAGATGGGAGGGTAAATTTTGGGGTACAATAGTTGCTCCTGTTCAATCTTCTTAAACCTGAGGAGTTAGATTGGCATGTCCGCCATTCGTGATCTGAAGGTAGAAGAGGATTGAACACTTAAGTGCCCAAAAATTTGCACTCGCATGTGAAGGAGGTAACGTTGTTAGTTGATAATATTTCTTGAATGGGCTTAAAGATGCCATTCAGAGAGGTGACAAAATGTCGTCGGAGATGGGCTTACAGATGCCATCCAAATAACTGTTGATATGAGTATCAGAAGAAGTCTATGTTTGACTATATCTGAAGAATGCTTTCCAGAATGAACCTTTGGGGAAGGTGCTTAAGTAGCAGCTTGTCAGATTAAGTCTCTGAGGGAAATTCTTGTCAGATTTCAGTCTCTGAAGTAAATGCTTGTCATGTATATAGTCGTCCCGTCTTGTTTCGAGAATTGATCCACAATCTGTTTCTGTTGGTAAACATGTCCTGTTCTGGGAACTCATACCACCTGGTCATGTTGATAGTTTCCCGATCCTGTTTCGGGAGTTAATCTTTTCCTGGTTATAAAGATAGTTTCCCCGTCCTGTTTCAGGAGTTAATCTTTGCCTGGTCATACAGATAGTTGCGTCGTCCTGTTTCGAGAATTAATCTTTAACCTGCTTTCTATTGGCGAACCCGTCCTGTTTCGAGAATTCATACCGCCTGGTCGTACAAATAGTTGCCCTATCTTATTTCGGGAATTAATCTTGGACCTGGTCATCTAGATAGTTACCCCATCTTGTTTCGGGAATTTAGTCTTTGACTTACTTTTTGTTGGTAAATCCGTCCTGTTTCAAGAATTCATACCGCTTGGTTGTATGAATAGTTGCTCCATCTTGTTTCAGGAATTAATCCGCGACCTGTTTGAGAATTGTTGATGATATTCGTCTATTTGTGAACTAACCTGAAAGAAACAAAGTTAGTTTCGTACAATGTCATGATGTATGTAATGCATTGCGTAATGATGTTCTCAAAGTAAACGAGAGTGTGCTATATGCATTTCGTATGCATATGCTATGGTACTTGTAAATGATATATGGATGCAAGATGCCATTGAAGTGTATCGGTAGCTTCGTATAACATCTTTGCTGGGGAAAATAAATCCCTGACCGTTGCTGGGGATGAAGACTATGAATCTTAAATCTTGTTTAGAATATCTCCGCTGGGGATTCTCGCTTTCTGTTTTGAGGATACTCCGTTGGGAATGTTTGACTTTTGCTTGGGGATAGAAGAGTTCCGGAATATTGGTCGTTCATCGCTCTACTAGGGGATTTAGTTCTTATATACCCTAAATGGGGATACAAGAGATGAATAACCTTCAGAGGTTCCGTATGACTGAGTTTCTGATATGGACGTCAACTCTTCTGGGGGGGGACAAAGTTAAATGATGTCTGGCTCGATTTCAGATTTCGTAGCAACTTTCTAGGGATAGCAACCTGGACTACACTTTGCTGGAGAAGAGAATCTTCCTGGGGATTTGTAGTAATCAGAGGAATGAACTCTGCTTGGGAAGTTAAATTCCGTTTGGGAAATAAACCCTGCTGGAGAAGTAAACCTTGCTGGAGAAGAGAATTTTGTAGGGATTTTGCAGTGTTGGAGAAATAAATCAGCTGGGGAATTGAATTCCTGTGAACTGTACTAAGAGAATCATTTATGATGGGAATTGAAATTCTGTAGGCTGTGCGGAGGAAATTTCCACTATATGCTAGAGAAATGATCAGACTCCTTTATCCGCTAGGGGGATCTTCTAGGGAGTATGATTATGTGAACTGTTGGAAGATGCCCCAATTCCTGCTTGGAGGCATATTAGGCTTGCGGGGGATGTATCTTCGTCTAGGATGAGCTTGTGAAGGTGACTCTGTAGGGATAATCTCATAGAGGTTGCTCTGTGGGGATTTGTGGATGACTTGAACGTTATCCCAATTTCTAAAGTCTTGAGTAAATGCTTATTCCAGTTTTTATGCATATATTTGTTAACAATAATCATATTCATATACATATGTTCATTCAATTTAGTCATTGGATGTTTTTGCAAACAAAACAGAGAAAGTAAAACAAAGTCGAATTCTGAAATTGTCTTGTATTGATAATTTGCCTATAAACAGGAGTTTTTGTACATAGAGACAAAAATCCTAGTAAGAGGAAATCGTCATGAAATGAAAAGAGTAAAAACAAAACATATAGCTATGTGTAAACTACCCCGTCAAGTTTCAACTCTGCTATTGTCCCTATGTCTTCGAGCATCTCATCCCTTGTTGTCAGAAGAAGTTGACTGAATTGATCTGTACCATTTGAACTTGACGTTGGTAACAAAGCTTGATGTAAGTAGATGATCCAATGGGACATAGTCGTACGCCTTAATCCCTAACTTTTACCTAGACCGCTCTTTCGGGTTTTCAGTCCACCGGGATACCCTTTTTTGCCCAAGCCGCCTTTTCAGGTTTTCGACTTGTCGGGTGTACAATCTTTATATATATCCCTGATTTTTGCCCAAAACCTTTTGGTTCGCCGGGATGCTCTTATTTTTGTCTAGGCCAGTCAACCTAGTGGGTCATATTCATGCGTAGTATTTTTTGACTATGTCCGCGTTCACAGGGTGAGGAAAGTCTTCACCATCCATGGTGGTAAGTATCATAGCACCGCTAGAAAATATCTTCTTGGCCCTTCGTAGGTGGGGGTCTGTTTACCCCTGGGATCACCTTGTGGTAAGATGATGCACTTTATTACCAAGTCACCAATCTGATATACCCGATGCTTGACTTTCTTGTTAAAGGCTTTGATCATACGTTTCTAATACTACTGACCGTGACAAACAACCGTAAGACTTTTCTCATCAATCAAATTGAATTGGTCCAGCCTAGTATGAATCCATTCGTCTTTGTTTAAATCTGCGTCTTCATAATCCTTAGAGAAGGAATCTGAATTTCGATAGGTAGGACACCTTCCATACCGTAGACTAGAGAGAATGGGGTTTCCCCGGTTGATGTTCGTATGGAAGTGCGTTAGCCATGAAGAGTAAATGGTAAAATTTCATGCCAGTCTTTATACGTCACCGTCATATTTTGTATGATCTTCTTGATGTTCTTAT